AGAATAACTAAACTAATCTAGTTTAAAGGGTTGTGTCTAAGGTAAAGGGATAAAAGGTACAAAATAATTATCTTACTTCTAAATGAACAACAACCATATTGCAAATTAACCAATCTGATCAATAAACTCAAACTTTTAACCTTTGTTTTAATGGTGTTGCTCTTGTCACATTTTTTCTATATCCCTAAACATCAAAATGGATAAAGAGTCAGACATGTGAGTGTAATGGTTAAAATGGTTTGCAGTCTGCGGTATGGTGAGTACACTTCAGTGATAAACCAAAGAACTGAAAGTTAACATTAGGCTCTTTACTTCACACGTTCATGAGTATGAGTGTGTAGCTTCCAGCAGAAAAAAATTGAAAACATTTTTAGGTAGGACACCATCCTGCCCTGATATTTTTAGCTCATGTTAAGTTACTGTAGCCAACCCCAACTGCCTAAGCAGACAGTATCTGTGCACACCCTCCTAGAATCGGGTTGCAGGTTGTCAGGATGCAGATTGTGTGCAGATTGTGTTTTCATAGATGATATGGCAACTTGGGTGGCATCAGATAAACTTAAAAATTTGAGGGGCCATGCAAATTACAAGAGTTTCCCAGAAGAAACGCCGAAACAAGAGGGCACCAGGACAACAAACACTTAGAGGATGTAGTTCCTTTCTGTACTTTTTGTCCCAAGGATTAGCTAACGTTACATACTAGCCATACTTATTTGGATATTTTCTAATGTAACTTGTGAATTAATGAGTTTATTTTGTCCAAACCAGCATTGCTGACTGCAGACTGTGGAAAGACTAACAAAGACGGTTTTGGTAAGTCTTATTTTGTTTCAGTGTTTCAAGTGGTAAAATTAAAGAAATCTGGTCAGCCATAGTGCCTGTTGTTTTGCTCTGAAATGCTGGTGCTCTAGTACAAATTTGGATGTTTGGGTGTCTCCTCAATGGATGCTGTATATTGTAAGATGGCACTGGACATTATGTTCAGTTTAAACATTAACACAATATATTGACTTAATATATGTAACTTAATATATAACTGTTTTTCTCAAAACAAACATGATTTGCATGTTAATATGTACTTTCTTTGTAGAGCATAACCTCTACATAGACATTGAATCTTTTATCTTTTAAAATAAAGAAAAGTGCTCTGCACTGCAAGCCGTTTCACCTATCTATGGGTCTGTCACATACTCTTCAACCTACCCACTTGGTTTAAAACAACTGGTCCTTGAGATACCTATAAGATAGATGAAGATAATGGATCAGAATAGGATAAAATAAAGCAGATCCTTTGTTTACTGTACTCTCCTAGTGTTGTGGTGCTTTGCTTCATGACAGCCCACAGTGTAGCATTCAGATGCATATGCAAGTGAAAATTAGAGTGTGAATGTGAAAAATAATTTTGATGCATTGGTGCCAGTCTGATTTCTAGCTCCCATCCCGACATAGGGACACTCCTGTTACCTGTGACCAGCATAACTTTAGCAGCGGTAACAAAACTCCTGGGCATCCCATTATTAGTCTCTCTTTTAGCTCTTTCTGCTCTCTTCACCTTTGCCCACACTGGGTGATTAGCTCCCGGACCACGCTGCGGCTAGGCCCACCAACGAATGCACAAGAAAGGATTAAAGTGCAGCACAAGAGCCTGCCATTTCCATGAGAGTCCTGGATAGCGCACCACAAATGTGTGCAAACAAACTGAAGGGATCGTCACCTGAAGAATGCAGCACACCAGCAACCACCCAAAGAGAACAAAGATACATATGTTTTCTGGTCCTCAACCCCCCATAAGCACCCTCTCTCTCTCCCTCTCTCTTCTCTCTCACACACAAACACACAACACACACACACACACACACAGCCTCTTCTTACGCGCAGAACTCCTGAATCCTTCCACTTAAAACTATGCAATTGATGATTTTGGTTTGATTTGGGGTGTAGGTCAAATTAATAGTTAAGTGTATTTTATGAGACTACATTAATGATTATTGGCTACTGTTTCCCCTCTTTAAGGGTGGTCCCCCGAGGAAGTTTAAAATTAATAAAAGTAATTATTTATTTTCTTTAATAATTAATGCAATATGATTAATCGTTTATTAAAGTAAAGACATATTTAGCACAACGTAATTAGGGACCGAGCACTGACCAGTGCAAGGACCCTATTGTTCCTGTAGGAATTATTATTATTTGGGAACTCTTCGACTGCA